TGGTTCTGTTGCTTGGAATTATTTGGGATCATCCCTGATTGTTCCCAGGTTGATTCCCAAGGTCCTTGCTAGCTAGAACTATATATTCCTTATCTGTTTGTACCTGAATATAGTCAAATTGATTCAAGCGAATTCCTTCCTCGCTGGAATTTCGTTTCTGCGCTATTCGACGGCGGAATGCTACCCGAGTCAACGCTAGTATGCTAGCACTCCAACGCTAGGCAAACGCTGTCCGAGCCATAACTTAGTAATGGCAGAACTTTTCGCGAGGCAACTTGGCTCATTTTAAAGCTCTTGGAGCGAGCTTCGATATAGCGAATTCTCAGCTTAATCCGACCGACGGTCTGCACGGCACGCTGCGCGACGTTCAAGGTACTCTTGCTGTTTTGACTAAGTCCTTCTTGATCCCTCTCTCTACAAACTCGGACCCGAGGATAGGGGCTGGTCTTGTACCAGGCACCCAGGGACCCTTGGAGGTGACCCCGAGGAGAGGTTTTAAGTTTGATTAAGTCCTAATAGCTTGAGTTTATTAGGCCCTTACACCAGGACGTACCCGTATGGCTACTAAGAAGCTGACTGCAGGAACTGATGCAGCAGAGCAGCAGCTAGGGACCGAAGAGGCATTGCTGATTCTACCTCATGGCTATGACCCGGATGAGGAGGATGAGCCTGCGTACTGTTTTCTTGCCCCTGCACCAGAGGAACCAGCTAGCATGGAGGAGGCATTAGCTGGACCAGATAGGGACAAGTGGCTGGCTTCTAGGGATGCTGAGTACCAGAGTCTGCTGGAGAATAGGACATGGGATCTGGTGGTGCTGCCTGATGGGAAGAAAGCGATACAATGCAAGTGGGTGCTGAGGATCAAGACCGATGACAAGGGGCAGGTCACCATCTACAAGAGTAGGCTGGTGGCGAAGGGGTTTATGCAGAAGGAGAAGCAGGACTTCAACGAGATCTTTGCTCCCACTGCCAAACCCCCTACCCTCCGTGTCTTGTTGGCAGATGCAGCTGTTAGTGGGAAATTCATCATTCAGATGGATATTTCAACGGCATTTCTGAATGGGATTTTAGAGGAGGATGTGTACATGACGCAGCCGCCTGGGTATGAGGATGGTACGGGCAGGGTGTGCAAGCTCAACAAGTCCATCTACGGCTTGAAGCAGGCGCCACGCTGCTGGTACCAGAAGTTGGCAGCTGTTTTAGAGGAGATGGGATTCAGGACCAGCAGCTGTGATGAGAGCCTCTTTCTCAAGGGCGAGGGGGAGAAGCTGGTGCTGTTTCTGGTCTATGTGGACGACATTCTTCTCTTCAGCAGCAGCATGAAGGAGATCCAGAAAGTGCAGCAGCAACTGATGGAAAACTTCAAGTGCAAGAACCTTGGGGAGGTAAAGTACTACCTCGGGATGCACGTGGAGAGGGATCCAGATCACAGGTGGTTGAAGCTGCACCAGGAGAAGTTCATCAAGGAGCTGGGGGAGAAGTATGGGATTGAGAATGAGCGCAAGGTTGCAACTCCCCTGCCAGCAGAATTCAAGCTTGTGAAGGCTGCAGAGGATGAAGGGGTTGAAGCTGAAGAGCAGCAGCAATTTCAGTCCTTGGTGGGCAGCCTCTTGTACGCAGCAGTTCACACGAGGCCCGATATCTCTTTCTCGGTTGGGCAGCTGGCTAGGGTGGTGCAGAATCCATCAGAGGAGCAGGTGGATGCAGCTGAGCGTGTGGTGAAGTACCTGAACTCTCACCCAAGCATTGGAGTTCAATACTCCGCATCTGCACAGGTGAAGCAGAAAGGGGTGGAGGTGCTGAAAGAGAAGGGGGAGAGGCTTGGAGAAGGCAAGCTATTTCTCACTTGCTTTACCGATGCTACGTGGGCTTTGAGAAGGAGGATTCCTCATCTGTGGGAGGATACATCTGCGTAGTTGGGGGAGGACCTGTTAGTTGGAGGTCCAAGAAGCAGACGGAGACGGCACTCTCTTCCGTAGAATCAGAGTACATGGCGATGTTCCATGGGGTGAAGGAGGTGATTTGGCTGAGGAGGCTGTTAGAGGAGATTGGCCAGGAGCAGAAAGTTGCTACGCCGCTGTTTTGTGATAGCAAGGGGGCTCTTGGGATGGCCAGAAACGCTGTGCTTCATGGGCTAAACAAGCACATGCGTATCAAGTGGCACTGGCTGCGTAAGGAGGTGAAGAGGGGGACGGTGCATCCGATCTACATCAAGACTCACCAGCAGCCAGCAGACTTTCTCACCAAGAGGCTTGCGGATGAGCCTCATTGGCGTTGTGTGCGCATGAGTGGAATGAGCATGAACTAGCATGGAATGACGGGGATGCAGCCAGCAGGCTGAGGGGGAGTGTGTTGGGTGCAAATGCACATTGCACGACATCCTGCCGTCTGTTTGTACGAGTATGCGTGTGCGAATGCATTTGCGTGTGAATGGTGTGTTCGTGTGTTTGTTTGCTTTCGCATTTTTCGCTTGATGCATTTGCAGGTACTCGCGCAATGTGCGCTTTGGCACAACATTGTATGCGCTATGAACAGTGCAAGCAGGAACGACGAGCTCGCAAAGGAACCCAAGATGGAAGCTTTGCAGTTCGGTTGAGTTGATTGCGCAGATTCAGTTCTATCCAACTCGGAATTGTACTGTTTTGTTTGGTTAACTATAGTGTAGCAGGGAAGGCACTATAGGGGTACAATTTAGGTGAAGGTTGGATGTTGTTTGTCTGTATCTGCATGCTACAAGGCCAGGGGAAACCAGCGGAACCAGCATTTGGCTGGTTGGGCAAAGACAAAACAGGTTCTGTTTTTAGAACCTGAACCTGGTTGTTGTTTTCCCAGGTTGGAAAAACAGAACCAGAGGTTGTTTACCAACCTACCACCTGCTATTTTGTCCAGCCAGGTTGGTTCTGTTGCTTGGAATTATTTGGGATCATCCCTGGTTGTTCCCAGGTTGATTCCCAAGGTCCTTGCTAGCTAGAACTATTTAATCCTTCTCTGTTTGTACCTGAATATAGTCAAATTGATTCATGCGAATTCCTTCCTCGCTGGAATTTCGTTTCTACGCGGTTCGTTGGCGGAATGCTACCCGAGTCAACGCTAATACGCTAGCACTCTAATGCTAGGCAAACATCGTCTGAGCCATAACTTAGTAATGGCAGAACTTTTCGCGAGGCAACTTGGCTCATTTTAAAGCTCTTGGAGCGAGCTTCGATATAGCGAATTCCCAGCTTAATCCGATCGACGGTCTGCACGGCACGCTGCGCGACGTTCAAGGTACTCTTGCTGTTTTGACTAAGTCCTTCTTGATCCCTCTCTCTACAAACTCGGACCCGAGGATAGAGGCTGGTCTTGTACCAGGCACCCAGGGACCCTTGGAGGTGACCCCGAGGAGAGGTTTTAAGTTTGATTAAGTCCTAATAGCTTGAGTTTATTAGGCCCTTACACCAACAGCAAGGAGAACCAGTCGAACAAGTCGAACGCCGACTCCTATAAGGGCGGCAAGGGGCGAGACGACAAGGAGGCGTCGTGCTCGCTGGTCGGTGTCGTGGAGCCGGCGAGGATTTCCAGGCGGTTGCAGCCGTCGTCGTAAAACCCGGCGGTGGTCCTGCTCGACAGTGGCTGCTCGCACCACCTGATGGAGACGAAGGACGCCTTTGTCGAATTGGGGCCGAGCGCCAACGTGAAGTTCGTGCGCGGCTTCAATGGGGCACTACAGGACGTCCAAGGCCGTGCCACGGTCGCGCTGCAAGGGGAGGCCGGGAAGCAAGTGCTCATTCCCCGACGTGCTCTTCATGCCGTGCGTGCACGCAAACCTGCTGTCAGCCGGCCAGCTGAAGGAGAACAGCATGAAGCAGCAGAACGACGGCGACGGGATGCTGTCCGTCACGGCGACGGGCGACGTGCTTGGTCGAGCAACGTACTCTCACAGCTGGGATGCCGTGGATGGTGATGATGCGGTCGAAGAAGAGTCGAGCAGTTGCTTCAGCTGTAGCTGTGGCGTTGGTCGGTATGAAGTGACCCATTTTGGAGAACTTATCGATCACTACGAGGATGGAATCGTGTCCCCGTGAGGTCGAGGGAAGTCCCGTGATGAAGTCGAGGCTAACGACCTGCCATGGCTGCTCCGGTACGGGTAGAGGCTGAAGTAACCCTGCCTTTTTCTGCTTGCTACTCTTCATCCGTTGGCACGTGTCGCAGGAGGTGACGAACTGCTGCATGTCTGCTGCCATCCGAGGCCAGTAGTAATACAACTATTCCCGCTAACGTCTTGTTACTCCCGAAATGTCCCGCGTATGGTACGTCGTGAAACTCCTCCAGTAGGATCTGCCGTAGCGGGGCGTAATTCGGAACCCAAATCTTTCCTGAACCCTTCCTTACCGCTAAGTCTTTCTCCCACTGTAACAGTTTCTGTTTCTCTGCCGTTGCTATCTCGCCGTCCACGGAGTACCCATGTTGGAATAGACCCTTGAGTAGAGGGTTCATCCCGTCGAGTTGGATGCCTGCTACATGACCTGGGCGGCTCAACGCGTCTGCTTTGTTGTGGAGCCCGGGTTTGTAGACGATGTCGTAGTGGAAGTGAGTTTCCAGGAAGTCCATCCACCGCACCTGTCGTCGTGAGAGTGTCGGCTGCGACTTCATGTACTTGAGGCTGCAGTGGTCAGTATAGACTGTGGTCTTGGCTCCCTCAAGGTAACACCTCCATGCCTTGAAGGCTACGACTATGGCTAAGGCTTCCTTGTCGTGAATGGGGTAGTTCAGTTCTGCTCCGTGTAGCTTCTTACTGAGGTAGGCGATAGGCTGTAACCCGTTCCCGTGATCCTGCATCAGTACTGCTCCAACTGCCTGGTCACTAGCGTCTGCTTCAACTACGTAGTCCTTCTTGGGATCCGGTAGGATGAACACTGGCGCTGTGGTCAGTGCTGTCTGTAGCTGTTCCATGGCTTGCTGATGAGGAGCACCCCATTTGAAGGGCGTGTCCTTTTTCAGTAGATCTGTTAGTGGCGCTGCTATTTTAGCGTAATGCGGAACTGCTGCAACTCCTTCACGTTGTCTGGAACCTTCCACTTTTTAACGGCTTCGATTTTCCGCGGGTCCACGTGTACGCCCTTGGCACTCACCATGTGCCCGAGAAACTGCACCTTCTCCAGTGCGAAGTCGCTCTTTGACAGCTTCACGTAGAACTTATTTTTCCGCAGGATCTCGAACACCTTCCGCAGATGCTCCACGTGCTCTTTCATGTTCTTGGAGTAGATGAGAATGTCGTCCAGGTACACCACTACGCACTCGTCCAGCAGGGGCCGTAGAATATGGTTCATCTCTGCCTGGAACGTTGCTGGTGCGTTGCAGAGTCCGAACGGCATCACCAAGTATTCGTAGGAGCCGTATCTCGTACGGAACGCCGTCTTGTGGATTGAGTTGTCCGCCATCTTGATCTGCCAGTAACCCGACCGTAGGTCCAGCTTCGAGAAGACTGTTGCACCACGCAGTTGGTCCAGTAAGTCGTCGATGCGCGGTATGGGATATTTGTTTTTAACTGTCTGTTTGTTCAGTGCGCGGTAGTCGATGCACATCCGTAGACTGCCGTCTGGTTTTGGGGTGAAGAGAACTGGTGCTCCGTAGGGAGAGGTGGATGGGCGGATCAGTTGTCTGTCCAGTAAATACTCGATCTGTTTCTTCATGTCTGTCAGTTCGGTCGGACTCGGTCTGTAAGGTGCACGGGAGACGGGTTTCGCACCTGGTTCCTCCACGATCTCGTGCTCGTGGGTGCGTGCAGGAGGTACGCCTGCAGGTAGGTCGTCGGGCATGATGTCTTTGTACTGCTCCAAGACCTTTTTCACTGCTGCGGGTAGCTCGGAACCCTTTTTCACCTCTTCTGCTGCAGCCATGACCAGTGCTAAGTAACCCGTGTTACTCTCGTTCACCGTCTGTTCGAACCGTGCCAGTGTCGTTTCAGGAATGTCCCCTGTATCCGTCCAGCTTCGCAGTGCTATCTGCTTCCCGTTGTTGTAGATGCACACCTTGCTGTTGACCCAATCGATCTCGGGGTTGAACCGCTTCAGGAAATCTCGCCCCAAGATGAAATCTAACCCTTTGATGTTGGTAAGAGGCAGCTTCGGCTTCCATCTCAACGCCCCTATGTGCAGCTGCAAGGATGTTTCGCCGTGGATGGGAAGCTTCGTGCCGTCCACCATGGTTGCTGAAAACTGGGTCTCCTCCGCCTTCTCTCCAATTTTCTCCAATGCTCCGCGGTCACACACCGAGTGTGTTGGATGCAAATGCACATTGCACGACATCCTGCCGTCTGTTTGTACGAGTATGCGTGTGCGAATGCATTTGCGTGTGAATGGTGTGTTCGTGTGTTTGTTTGCTTTCGCATTTTTCGCTTGATGCATTTGCAGGTACTCGCGCAATGTGCGCTTTGGCACAACATTGTACGCGCTATGAACAGTGCAAGCAGAAAGGACGAGCTCGCAAAGGAACCCAAGATGGAAGCTTTGCAGTTCGGTTGAGTTGATTGCGCAGATTCAGTTCTATCCAACTCGAAATTGTACTGTTTTGTTTGGTTAACTATAGTGTAGCAGGGAAGGCACTATAGGGGTACAATTTAGGTGAAGGTTGGATGTTGTTTGTCTGTATCTGCATGCTACAAGGCCAGGGGAAACCAGCGGAACCAGCATTTGGCTGGTTGGGCAAAGACAAAACAGGTTCTGTTTTTAGAACCTGAACCTGGTTGTTGTTTTCCCAGGTTGGAAAAACAGAACCAGAGGTTGTTTACCAACCTACCACCTGCTATTTTGTCCAGCCAGGTTGGTTCTGTTGCTTGGAATTATTTGGGATCATCCCTGGTTGTTCCCAGGTTGATTCCCAAGGTCCTTGCTAGCTAGAACTATTTAATCCTTCTCTGTTTGTACCTGAATATAGTCAAATTGATTCAAGCGAATTCCTTCCTCGCTGGAATTTCGTTTCTGCGCTATTCGATGGCGGAATGCTACCCGAGTCAACGCTAGTATGCTAGCACTCCAACGCTAGGCAAACGCTATCCGAGCCATAACTTAGTAATGGCAGAACTTTTCGCGAGGCAACTTGGCTCATTTTAAAGCTCTTGGAGCGAGCTTCGATATAGCGAATTCCCAGCTTAATCCGACCGACGGTCTGCACGGCACGCTGCGCGACGTTCAAGGTACTCTTGCTGTTTTGACTAAGTCCTTCTTGATCCCTCTCTCTACAAACTCGGACCCGAGGATAGGGGCTGGTCTTGTACCAGGCACCCAGGGACCCTTGGAGGTGACCCCGAGGAGAGGTTTTAAGTTTGATTAAGTCCTAATAGCTTGAGTTTATTAGGCCCTTACACCAACAAGCTGGTATCAGAGCCGCGTTATAGTGATCCTCGTTATAGGTAGCTATGGCGGGCAACACCTCGGCGGGAGCTGGTGAATCTTCAGCCCAAGATCGTAGCGGCAGCCAAGATTCTGGTCTTTCAGCGCCAAGGGGAGCGCGAACAAACCAGGGCTCGCTTGTCAAGGAGGTGCTGAAGAATTTCACCGTCGAGAAGTTCAATGGTGAGGGCTATGATGATTGGGCCTGGAAAATGCAATTATATTTCCGTCAGATCGGTTTGCTGAAACTAATGATTGGGGAGGAGCCTAGACCGAGTGACCCCACGCTGCAGGAAGATTGGGACGAGCGCTCCTCGGCTGGCTACTATTTGATGTCGCAGAGTTTGGAGCTGAACCAGCGTCACCACGTCATGCACCTGCTGCCGGAGGTTGAATGCGGTCCGAAGGCGTGGACCGTGTTGAAGGAGCTGCACGCCCCGACCTCCGTTGTCGCAACGTTGATGCTGGAGAGGGAGCTGTCCGCGTTGCGCCTGAGCGAGGGAGAGCCGGTGCAACCAGTCCTGGACAAGATGCGCGACCTCTACGCGAAGTTGGCGACCGCGGGAATCACCTACCCGGAGCAGACCAAGTGCTTGAAGATGCTCTCGCTGCTGCCAGAATCGTGGCTTCAATTTACGAGCGGATTGAGCCTGCCGCAGAACCAGAGCTTGTGGACGCTCGAGTGGGTGCGGACGAAGATTCTGGAGGAGGACTTCCGTCGCCGCCAACTGAGGGGTGGAGACGACGGCAGCAGCGGCTACGGGATGCAAGGGAGCCGACGTGGCAGAGGACGTGGCTTCGGTGGTGCTGGACGCGGTGCAAAGAAAGACGACGACTCCAACGACCAACAAGGAGGTACCGGTTGGGGTCGCGGTGCGAAATCTGGACGTGGGGGCAAGTCGGGTGCTGGTGGCAAAATGAAAGGGAGTTGCTGGTATTGTGAGAAGGAAGGGCACCCCTGGTTTTTGTGCTATAAGAAACCCGATGGATGGACCCCCCAGAATCGTCACCAGGATGGCGGCGCGCGGAGGAACCAGAAAAACGGCGCCAACATGGTCGCTGATTCGTCCGACAACAACCCGAAGGGCAACGGCGGTGCGGAGAAGAAGAAGGAGCGCACCGCGGGCCAATTCTTCCATGTGGGAGACAAGGGGGAGCAAGGAGACGCCTCTGCCAAAGTTGGAGCAGAGCTGCACCCCCTAGACTATTGGGTGTTGGACACAGGCGCTGCTTGGACGATGACGCCGCGCAAGGACCTGCTGGACGAAGTACGAGCTGCACCGATCAATGAAGTGTGCTCCGCCTCTGGACACATGTTGAAGGTGGCTGGTGCGGGACGAGCTGCGTTTAAGGGAGCGGATGGCAAGCCGGTGGTGCTGCACGACGTTCTCTTCGTCCCCGACCTGAAGGCCAACCTTATCTCCCTCCGTAAGCTTGGCAAGGCTGGGGTGAACACCAACACGGATGGGGCACGCACTTATAAGGGGAAGCTGGGCAATCGGGTGCTTTGGGATCTGCACGAGAGCAAGGACGTGTACAGATCTATGTGGCAGCTGCCGGCCCTGGCGTGGCATGGTGGGGGGCAGGCTGGAGAGGGGTCTGCATCCCAGGGGGAGTGCAATGCCGTTGGAGGGGTTGGTGTGAAAGTGTCGGCCAGATCTGGGGAGACAGATTGGGCAACGGCACACCGGCGCTTAGGGCATGTGGCAATGCCTTTGCTGAAGCAGCTGGAGAAGGATGGAGCCGTTAAGGGTCTGAAGCTGAACGGACAGCCACCCGATGACAACTGTGAAATCTGTTTGCTTTCAAAGTTCACCCGTTTCCCTTTCCATAGTGTGGCTGGCAGGAGCAAGAAGCCTTTGGAGCTGGTCCACATGGACTTGGTGGGGCCGCTGCCGGTGCAAGGGCACAAGGGGGAGCGGTATTTTCTTACAATTGTGGATGACTGGAGCAGGCTGATGTGGGCGTATCCGCTGAAGCAGAAGGACCACGCCGCCTCCACGATACGGGACGATTGGCTGCCATTCGTGGAGAAGCAGGCGGAGTGTGTAGTGAAGCGGATTAGGACAGACCGGGGTGGTGAGTTCCTTGGAGCTGAAATGACGGCCTGGCTCAAGAAGCAGGGCATCCAGAGAGAGCTGACCACGGCTTATACCCCACAGTCCAATGGTGTAGCAGAACGGGCAAACCGGACCATTCTGGAGACAGCTAGGGCGCTGCTCATAGAATCTGGGCTGAGCAATTCTATGTGGCCTCATGCTGTCCGGCACGCCACTGTCGCTAGGAACAGGGTGCTCACCAAGGTTGGGGATGACTCGTGGGTGCCGTTGGAGAGGTGGCTTGGGAGGAAGCCGCCGGTGGACATGCTGAGGGTGTTCGGTTGCATGGCAGTCGCCCACGTCCCCAAGACCTACCGCAGTAAGTTGGGGGCGAGTGCAATCTGGTGTGTGCATTTGGGGCTGGCTGCTGAGAGCAAGGGATGGCTGCTGTGGGAACCATCCAAGGGTGTGTTGTTTGACAGCAGGGATGTGAAATTCATTGAGGGCATGATGTATGGGAGCTGGGAGAAACAGCCGGAGGCAAGGGTGTCCCAGCAGATGGAGCAGATCACCATGCAGCTGGACCTGACTCCTAGTGTGTGGGAGGAGGGAGAGGAGGCAGCTGCTGGAAATGGTGATGGAGAGAAGGTACAGGAGGCATCTGCTGGTGGAGAAAATGGTGTGGAAACTGGCGGCAGCACTAGTGGAGCTGCTGGACCCGAGGGAGGAGAGAAGCAGCAGGGAAAAACTAAGAAGCCGAAGGGTGTCGTTATGAAGGGATGGGAGACACCCGTCTCCAGGCCAGGACGTACCCGTATGGCTACTAAGAAGCTGACTGCAGGAACTGATGCAGCAGAGCAGCAGCTAGGGACCGAAGAGGCATTGCTGATTCTACCTCATGGCTATGACCCGGATGAGGAGGATGAGCCTGCGTACTGTTTTCTTGCCCCTGCACCAGAGGAACCAGCTAGCATGGAGGAGGCATTAGCTGGACCAGATAGGGACAAGTGGCTGGCTTCTAGGGATGCTGAGTACCAGAGTCTGCTGGAGAATAGGACATGGGATCTGGTGGTGCTGCCTGATGGGAAGAAAGCGATACAATGCAAGTGGGTGCTGAGGATCAAGACCGATGACAAGGGGCAGGTCACCATCTACAAGAGTAGGCTGGTGGCGAAGGGGTTTATGCAGAAGGAGAAGCAGGACTTCAACGAGATCTTTGCTCCCACTGCCAAACCCCCTACCCTCCGTGTCTTGTTGGCAGATGCAGCTGTTAGTGGGAAATTCATCATTCAGATGGATATTTCAACGGCATTCCTGAATGGGATTTTAGAGGAGGATGTGTACATGACGCAGCCGCCTGGGTATGAGGATGGTACGGGCAGGGTGTGCAAGCTCAACAAGTCCATCTACGGCTTGAAGCAGGCGCCACGCTGCTGGTACCAGAAGTTGGCAGCTGTTTTAGAGGAGATG